CCAGCGACTTAAGACTGGTTTTGTGCTCCAGGGTCACATATTAGATTAGATAAATAATTCACACAGAATTGAACTTCATTGTCTTGAATAAAAAAGAAATCCACAAGCAGCAAATAGCAACAGATAGTTTCCAAGACAAAACACTTGAAGAGGTTATCCAAGACTGTTTACAAATGACAAAATAAAGCATTTTCACAAACATAGAGAACTAGAAATCTGTAAAATGCTTCATTTATTTAAAATTATCTACACAGCTGACTACGCAATTCAGCCAATGTTTAATTAGCATTCAGTTACTTTGTAAATATTTGATTGCAGCATTTTATTTATTGATTTAACATTCATGACATTAGTGATATACGTATATAACTTATCAGAGGGGACATTAAGCAGTACAACCGTTTTTAAACTGTGATGACAATAATGCATGTTTTTTGAGCACCAAATCAGCATATTGGAATGCTTTCTAAAGTATAAGACTGGAGGAATGGCTTTGCCATTCTTTGCCATCACAGAAACCAATTTAATTCAAAAACATGCAGAAAACCGTTATTTGAAATGGCATGTTTGACAATATTAAAAACGTTCAAAAATCTTACTGACCCAAACCTTCTGAATGGTAGTGTGATAGAAATTGGCTGACAGTGACCGTTTTTGCCTCTCAGTTGCTTAAAGATGAGCATTTCACAGTTTTCGATGCACTCATCACTTGCTATACTCACAGAAATCACATTTTCTTTAATAGAAATTAAAACAATAAATTACATTAGAGCAGATTGGAGTTGAAGTCAAACCTTTAAAGTTAGGCCTGATCCGAGCATCATATCCAGATGTTTTTCCCATTAATTTATCCAGAAAATCCGATGGTGACATGGGCTTCACACTGCTGCTGGGCGATTTCAGCTCCTTACTAAACACACACATGGGAAAAGTAAAAAAAAATACACATCAGAACATCAAATCTACACCTGCCTCCAACAGATCATCATAGAGAGCTGCTTTTACAGCGGGGTCCAAAGTCTAAGACCACTAGTTTGAATCTTTCAAAATCTTAAACTTTTCATTTATATTCTGGTTTCGTTAGCAACCAGATCTCACTCCACCATTTATATTGAACAAACGACACTCTTTGCATTAATGGCTTCCTTTTGGTCTTCAGAAACTTCAATTAAGATTTGGATTTTAAATGACCAGATTTACATTGTGGGCTTTTGGACTGTATATGTGCGTGGTTTATTAATAAGTATGCTCTCTATGAGCTCTTTCAGTTGTTCATTTTAAAATTCACTGTGGCCAAAAGCCTGTTATCATTCCATTATTGACTGAATGCTTTGGAAATAATGTATGCCAAATTGAAATATTAATGCTAGAGGGAAATCTGGTTGCTAACAAAATACCTGAGGAGTCTACTTAAACCCTTTAATAAGGCTTTAAATGAGCACATCAGAACATCTGTCTCATGTTTTATTAAAACTCCTCTCTACCTGACACGTTCTGTCTGTTTCTCTGTGTGGCTGCAGTATAGCGGTGACATCTTTATTGCCTTAAACCTAATTGCAGGTTGTTGTAGGTGTTAATATTTTATTAAAAAAAGAATTCAGTAGAAGTCCAAGCAGAGAAAAGGACAGCACTTTCTCTCAAACGCTTTGAATCTTATTCCATATTTAGAGAAATTTTCCGGTCCAGTTCCTCTTCAATTTCCCTGTCTGTTTGTGAGCAGAACTGTGGCAAATCTGATTTGTGAAAATATAAAGTCCGTCTCACACAGCTTATAGGGAGTGGAAATAAGACACAGAATGAATGCATCCTCAGGTGAGACTTACAAGCCCTTATTGTCATTCTAAAGAAACGTCTCGTTCCAGATAGGGCAATAATAGTTCTATCTCATTATGTGGACTTCAATAAATCTGCAATTTCAGTAACAGTGAAAATGACTTCAGACAGAGCTGTCTCTATGTGTCAGCCTCATACTTCAGAGACCCAGATACATAAAGCCAACAAACACAAACACACACACACAC